GCGCAGGTGCAAAGTGTTGTGTCCAGGGCTGTCCCTGGTGATCACCAAGGTGCCTCCCTGTCTTCATCCTGTGATTCCCCTGCAACGAAACTGCGGGAGTTGCAGGAGCATTTTGCATCTGCCAATATCGACAACTGGATCTTGTTGTGATTCCCTGGGTTTTTGGTCTGTTTCAGCGGTTTCTAGTGTCATGTTGTAGCTCTTTCCTGCAGACTTATATGGTTGATTTCACTTGGACCGTTTTTGAAAGATGACCGCTTTGCGTACGCTTCCTTTCTTGCTTTCTGCTCCACAGGGAGTGATGCCGGGAGCCAGGAAGCCTGCCTCCTGCGAGACCAAATTCTTGGGCTTCTCCCTTCTGTAGAATCGTACTTCATTCTTTTTGTTCCTCAAACTCTGCAGATCAGCTGGAGAGTGAAAAAAATTTCAAGACACGGAAGAACTCCATGCTTCGGCCCGATTTGTACTTGAGCCCTACCTGAGCACAAACCCTGCCACCAATACGCCTGAACAACTTGACGCCGACAGCACCACCCTCGATTGCTTCTTGCGGCGCCCTCGTTCACAGTCGTTATCCTGGGCAGCGGCCTGGGTAACCTGTTACACGACAGACACCGACGCTGACGCACGACTTGCCTCGCATGCAGGGCTGACATCCGCTGCAGGTGAGCTTTCCTCACAGTGTAGATTCTCAGTCTGCATGAAGGGGAAGAGTGCATCAGGGTTCTCCCACGTGTCCCGTCAAACCCTTCCACACTCCAACCCCCCTGAAAGGGGCAGAGTCACAGTCGTTACTCAACACATCACTCACCCCAGGTCAATTTACCCCTTCGGCCCCTTCTAAAGAAAGTATCAACCAGAAATCAAGCCTGGCACCTTTCAATCCCACAACCCTCAAAGGTCCACCAGCGGCCTTGAATCATTGAAGCAACCCGCAGGAACAAAGACCCCAGACATGAGGAAAATGAGACGTCCAGCTCGGCGCCTGCAGCTTCTTGGACTTCAGAGGCGGGGGCGGGGGAAGCTGCTTCAGCATCGACAACCTTGGCAGGCTGACATCTCTTTGTCCGGCTCCCCTGCACTGCCCTACACCTCCCTTATGAGCGGAGGGCGACGGCACTTGTTTCACTGGAGCCGCGGGGACCTGCACGGGGCGAGAGCGTGCCCAGAGAGCGCGCAGCCCATCCAACACTCACACGCTGCCGCCTCGGATGGTCTGGGAGATTCGCTCGGAGCCACCTGACTCTACATCCACTCAGAGACGGGAATCGTCCCAGTAATCAGCCATGAACGAACCCTTCTGATGCGAGCATCGCCTACTGATGCTGCGAGACGAATCATCCGAAGAAGATGTCGGAAGCGCCTCTGGCACAGCTGCTGGTTCCTCTGCAGGCTGCGGAGCGGATGCAAGCTGGCCTGGCAAGCGACATATTCTATATACTGAGATGCCCCACCAAAACCTTATTCTTAACCTGAATGTGGGGTGGGTGGGGTGGGTTTCCCCTGCCCGCTCCCCCCTCCCCACCCACCCCCCCCTCCCCACCTCCCATGCCTGACGCCCCCCCCCACTCTCTGGCCTGGGAGTAGAGGGCCCCCAGCTCATGTATTTTGGGATATGTGGCTGTGGGATGCACGGGAAACTGGACCAGGAACGCCAAAAAGTTGTGCATGCAAACAGGGCGAAACCGTGCACAAGCGTCCGTTGACGATGCACATTGAACAGAAACAAAGCTACGAAGCTCGAACCTGGCAGTGTAGGTGGCGCCATGCTGGGCGGAACTGGGACCAGTCCCTTCGGAGCCTGCACACCGGAGCAGAAAACTGCTTTCCATGACAGCGCACCATGGTGACGACCACGAGAAATCGTTCAGGAAACATGTACGCAGCTGGAACTTGTGGATGTGGTGATGCTAACTGGCTGCATTGTGCTTATCACATGTGCTAGCTGGTCTACACTAACAAAAGCGATTTCTAGAAGAGGCAACCCATGCCGTCCAAGGGATGGAGAGAGGCCTCGCGCACAGGGCTAGCATCCGAAGAAGACGAACTTTCCGAATACTCCTGCAATCTGGCGGTGACTTTGGCACGCTGCTTGCCTGGACCACAATAGGACCGAGACCCAGAAGCGGCCGGATCCTCCTTGAGGCGCTTCAGCTTCGCCAGCTTCTTCTCCAAGCCCGGCAACTGCAGCTCCAGGGTCCTTCGAGCGGAGCCGGGGGCATTTGACGGTGCTCCGCCCCTGACCAAGAAAGAAGCGAACCCAATGCAAATAGGATTAGTCTGGTGCTTTCATGTCGACTCTTCCAGAAGTCCCAAACTTCGCACTATCGGGAGCCCTGTCCAGAGTTCCTTCCAAAGCCCGTATTTCCACACTTGCCTGCCTTGAAGGGGCACTCGGAGGGGAGGTCTCCTGCGCATCTGAGATTCTGGCTGAAGGCTCGGGGATTCCGGGCAGAGCAAGAGACAGCATCTTCTTTCCAAAGAACAAAGCCTCCTACAAATGTGCATCGGAACATCATAGACTATAGAGGTCATAGACTTATAGAGGTCATGCAAGGGCGCGTCTAGGCCGTAATCCCAGGTTGGCACAGACGCACCCTGGCGGTCCTCAGCATCCGGGGGCGTCCTCTCTCCTCCGGGCAAGTTGCGACCCGAGTGGTTCTACCACCCAGCATGGCTCTTTACGATCTCTGCAGCCATCACAATCGGCAAAAGCGCGTCGTGATGAGAGGAGAGAACTCTCTCAAGCGCTCTCCAGTGCGTCCCAAGGCTGCGACCCGAAGGGCTGCGAGGTGACGCCTGCAGAGTCCAGGTGCAGCAGACATTCTCATGTGAACAGCCCCTGCCCGGCAAAGATATCCAACAAGCTATAAGCAGAAGTGTTCGCCCCCTGCCTGCTCCTGCTCCACCGCTGTGGGGCCTGGGCCTGGGCCACTGCAAGCGACAGACAGGCAGACTCATCCGAGATGCTCACGCCCCAAACTCCAGCTCTTGAGGCCGAGTTTGCAGCCCTCTGCCACACGTTGAGCACTTTTTGTTGAAAGCAAGTCTTGCAACATTCGGGCCGCAACTGGTCTCTTCAACAACTCGAAGCGTCGTAGCCCCAGAGTTTGGACGGGTCGGACTCGTGCCGGGTCGGCTGCCTGGCCAGGGCCAAACGCTCTGACCGCATCCTCAGGTGGCCGGGCCCTGCCGAGTCCTCGTCCTGCGAGTGGAAGATCCAAGAAGGAGCCACCTGCCTGCCGCAGCTTTGGCCGGCACGGCAGCTCGAAATGAGCTGGCGGAAATTGCCTGCTTCGGTGAGAATGGGCAGCTCGGATCCTGGCACACGCTGGATGCACAGCGCTCCGACTTTGTCTCTGTCTGCCACGACGAGAATCCGTGCAAGGCAGGTGTAGGAGTCGAAACGAGCAGGGCAGTCCCTGTTCAGCGACACCTGGCATGCGTGAGGCGCATATGCACACTGCCAGGCCGCTCCGAGATGACGGCCTTGAGCAACGAGGGATGATTTCCTGGCCATGTCCAATGCTCCAAATCTTTGAACAAGCTGGGATCAACATTTCCAGCACCTGGTGTGGTGGAGCGCGTGCTGCTGGTCGAGCCGCTGTAAATGGAAGATGCACTCTTCAATGAGTAGCCCGTTCCCGGCGGCGTCAGTGTGCCCTCGCGAAGGCTGCTAAGCAAGCAAGCTTAAGCATGTGATGCTGACAATTTCTGCTGTCGTCTGCGCTCACCACATGTCATTTCGCAGGCCATCTTGGACGTGTAAGAGTTGCTACACCGACACGCAACAAGCTACAACACATTCTTCACACGCCTCCCCAGCTTGTGCAAGCAACGTTTCCACATTCGGAGTGGAGGCATCGACAAAACTGAGATATTCGTACAAATGCCTGTGGCTCTGACAGCGGAGCTCCTGCATGACATCATCGATCTGGCGCGGTGTGGTCCCCAAACCCTGGCCATCTTTCAGGTCGGGTTCTTCCTCCAAGCCCGACCTGGTCTTGCTGATGCAAGCTTCTGTTCCAACTCGATTGATGCAGCTGGGTCACGAAATTTGAGCCTGTTCCGTGATAGTGCGTGTGTAGGCCTCGTCAACGAAGTGCCTACGCCGAACTTCTTGCAGCCGGTGGACTACTGGCCTCCCATGCTGCTCTGGTCGCTTTGGCCACCTGCGCCAGAACTGCGAATCGCCAGCACGTCGCCTAGCCCAGAGGAAGACCCATTGTCGCAGGCAAGGCGCCAACGAGTTGGCGAAGAGATTGGGGGCAAGCCTGCAGCCCACCCCGAGCACACTTGGCAAGACCAGCCCCCTCCCATCCCCGTGGATCCTTCTCCATGCAGCCCGCTTGCGCCACCTGTGCACGGAGTGTCTGAACCAGAAAACGCCACGTCTCTGCTTGCAGGCAAGAGATCCAACCTGTAGCGCCAGAACCAGCAGGCGCAGAAGATCGCGAGACAGTACCTCAGCGACTCGAATAGGCAAGTGACGGACCAAGGTTTGCCGTCCCGGGTTCACTTGCACGCTCCCTGCATGTCCCGGCAGGTCGAGTAGAGAGGCCCCGACAGAATCGACGCTGCAATAAGACCCAAGATGAAGACCAGATCAGCCCTGCAAGGCGGCAGGAGCGAAACCCTTCGTTGTTTGCTGAAAGCTGAACATGTAAACAAGCTGCCTGCCGCTCCTATGGTCATCCATAAGATCTGCCAACGCAGCATCCAGCCCGCTTTTCGGCTCCTCGGGTGAATCTCCCAACACAGGCCATACTTCTCTTTCGTGCGTCCATGTCCTCTGCCACCGACTGAGACTCGGTGATCTTCAGGAGGGAGCCGTTGCCTCCAGGCCACGCTGCTCTGAAACGGACACGGAACGGAGGGATGAAGAATTCTGAAGGGGCCCTCCGCGTGCCCCGCCTGGTGTCAGCCAGAAGTCTTCCAGTTGGCTGCAGCGCTCCCGGGTTGCGACCAGCGAACCTGCGCTGGACATTCACTCCCATCACAAGCTTCACTACAGCAATGAAGTGACGCGATGACTGGCATATCCCCCACACCTGAGACATTGCTGAAGCCGGGATCCACTTCGGACGCGTCGCAGATGCAGATGCCTGGGCGGGAAGGCAACTCGGTAAGATCGAGAGACAAATGTCGATTCGGTTGATTCCGATGCCAAGATGCGAAAGGTGCCAGCTATCGGAATCGTCAGGCTGGCAAGGCCGTCGCCACATCTGGGACATCAGTCGACAACACAGCTGCCAAACACGCTGCAATACCAAATGGGGCTGGGGTGCTCTAAGTGAGTGCTGTTGCTGCTCGGCTGCCTGCACGATGCACCTTTCCAAGCTCATGAAAAGTAGCACGAACGGAGTTGTGACTGTGAGCTGCACTGCATTAGGACCATGACTTGCCGTGCACCTCCACCACGCAACACTCGAATCTGCTCAATCGCCACTGTGTCAGTGCCATTCCTCGGACAGATCGAGCCGCTTCCCAGTATGAAGTACGAACATGGTCACCGCACCGATTACAACACCGGCTCCAGGGAGCAGGAAGTGCACCGCACGCAATCGATGGATCGTAGCGGTTTCTTTCTGAACCTTTTGAGCCCCCGGCTCTGAGGCATTTGCAGCACCTTTCAAACTTCCAGTGCTCCAGTCCTCTCCCAATAATGCAAAAGATCGAGCCAACCTCCCTCTGCAGGGCCCTCGTTGGAGACCTGACACGAGTCAAAGCTCCCAACTGTCCTTGGCTCCTTGAAGCAGTGGTTCAGGCCTGGCCACACTCGGCATCTTCCCCTCCAGTGAGCAGGACCACCCTGTCCTGCAGAGAAGCCGTCAACACGATCTTTACGTCCCTACGGTCTTTTACCATGACTACAGGCAGGTGTGGACATCTGTGTGAACATTCCGGCAGAAGACTGTAATTAGAAGGAACACAGCTTCAAAGCATGACTTCGACATGCACCTCCAGTGGGTCGAGGTAAGCGCCCTCCACGAGGATCTGCCAGAAGCAAGCGACAGTGCCAGCAGACTCATGGAAACATGTTCACGCCATGGATGGGGGGCCATTGCAGTGCAACAGGCCTGGAACACATCACCGGGCTTCACCCACTCCGGGTGGGTGCGTGCGCTGAAGACTTCGCCCTGAAAGAAAGCTTGCTGGAGGAATCAAGATATTCCTTCGGGTTTTGTGAGCCCAATAGCATCTGAGTTTTGAGGTCCACGCTGTGGGGCAGGGCTCCTCGTTGCACGATGCGAAGCGGCTGCGAAGCGGGCTGTCAGACCTTTCACGGATACGTCCAACACCTTGCACCCCTCAGCCGTCCGAGCTCCCAGCGGTGGACACTCGGACCCACCACCAATAGCCTGCCGGAGCTTTGATAATTCCTAGATTTCCTCCGGCTTCCATGTTCCCGCAGTTCGATTGGAAAGACCAGCTAGGATTGTTTATCCACCACTTCCGCCCTAGCGGTGTCGAACATCTGCGTGTCAGGATGAAGGGACAACCACGATTCGCACAAAATCTGCAACAGTCTCAAGAGCTCGGAGCAGCAAATCCATCTCTGTGCTGCCGCCATTGCGCACAGAAGTCGAATGGCTCTCTAATGTGCCAAGGTTTCAGGCAAGTTGAGCCAATGATTCACACGAAGGTCTCCACCAGGCAGCCCGGCCTCCGCCAGGACGCGACGGCGAAGCTCGAAGAGGCCGCCCCCACAGGCCCGGCTGCATGCGAACTGCCCGAAGTCGCCTTCGTTTAAAAACTCGAAGGCTCTTCTCTCAGTCCACCCACCTTCCCGCAAAAGGACCATTTACCTACACCAGAAAGGCTTGGCTCGTGCCTGTTGGAAATCGAAAGAGCTCGTCGGCAGGCGCGGGCTCCCAACCTACAGCTCCATTTGCAAACGCGCGAGCATGCACTGAAGCATACGATCCATTCCTGCCTCCAAGCAAACAGTCCCGAGACCTTGGTGCTCAGTCTATACTTCGAACGGAACTGAAAAGGCTTGGACTCTCCGAGCTTCGTGCTCTCTGGCGAAGCCGCTGGCCAGCTTCATCGACCCAGTAGAGACGTTGCCTGGCGGCCGTGGTAGGAACTCCTGTTCAACTGTGTAGGCATTGGCACGACCAAGAGAGGCCGCCTCGTGTCCAGCATATGGAGAATGGCCCAGGGTATCGGGGCGCTTGTACTTCAAAGTCTGCCTTGGAGGTGTTGGCATAGACCTCAGCTCCAAAACCTGAATCGACTTGCCTCTCTTTGCCTCTCCTTCGACCAAGCTGCTCTTTCCGGGCTGAAGAGCTCTACGTCCTCGCTGCAGCTTTGGCCCGGCTGCACCGAGAGCCTCTCCTCAGCCGATTTCAGCTGCGGTCACAAAGCCGTGCAGGCACAGGCCTGGTCGGAAAGGTTTACCCCGGAGAGAGTGACGTTGAAGGCCTGGCTCTCCGATTCTCGAACTAAGTCGCGTGCCCCACAGCATTGAGACGACCGCACACCTCCAGCAGCTCCACGAATTCCGGGATCCTCGTCACCTGGGCTCTGCAACACGATTTGGGGTGACTGGCAACAAAAGGCTGCATGCTGTTGAGGTCATGACGTTTGTCGGGCCGGCAACAACCAACTCACCGACGTGCTGCCAGAGCGCGCAGTCAGCTCCATACGAGCGATCACACCTGCAAGGTCAGCTTCAGCTGCTCAGAAGCCGAACGGGCGACAGAAACGGGTGCATTGCCGCAGGATCCCTCTCAAGCATGCAGCGCTCACCAGCAAAGCCAGAACCTCAACTGAGGCTGTAGAGGGTAACTTCGGGCGCGGCGTTTTGCTTTAAGCCACTTAGATCACAAAGACTGCTGACGTCGATGCACCCGAACAGTGAAAAGTCAGATCAGCCAGCAGCTGAAGCCCTACACTGGCTGGCCCTACACCCCATGAATTCCAAATGCGCAGCCCGCACGGCAGCCCATCTCAGGTGCAGGCGTCCCTGCAAACGGAAGTGATTCACGTCTCCACTGCACATACCTTCCCACCGCCGCAATGACCGGCCGCCTGCAAGGCTGCAAGGACGACAAGGAGCTAACAGTCGTGCCCGTGTCCGGCCCCATGTCGAACGGAGAGACGATAGCATCTGACCAGGGCTGGCCAACCTGGCGAACTTTCAATATGATTTTGCGGTCCTTACCCCCCCCCCCTTCCTGGCGGGCCTCCGGACAGCCATCGTGTGGCCACACGATCTTCAGGTAGCCACCCTGAGGACGCACGCATGCTGATGCTGTCAAAGAGGCGGGCACCCACATCCCATCCGAGATCGCTGCATTGGCATTGAGCGGATTGCCATGGACCTCACAACAGCGCTGGCCCTGGGCTTTGCAGGCCCTGGCCTGTCTGAAAGGCGCCTTGAGGTCCAAAGGCTCGTAGATTGTGGCAGGCACGCTGGTCCAACGATCGGGACCAGGATCCAACGGAATCAAGCGCCTCGAAGCTATTTCATGTGCCATGAAACGTCAACGGAAACGCACGGGCAAGATTAATATGGAGATGTTAGGGAAGGCGGGGTAAGGGGGTCGGGGGGAGCCCGAGTGGGCTCAGCAAGTGCTTAGCAAGTGCCAGGCAAGAGCTCGGAACTTAGCGAGTGCTTTGTATGTCCTTGATGCCTTCAAAACCGGTGCACGCTAGTTTGCTGTGTGCTTTGATGCATCCATAGAATCGGGGATATGTCGCCCGGGCATTCACTGCAGAAGCTTCGAGCTTACGCTCAGCGCTCACGGAAGCACTCGCTAAGCACTGGGACCTCGACAGCCTCGATGTCTTGCGGGTTTGAACAATGGCCCAAAACAAAACTTGACAGTCCTCCAAGTAGGAATCTCCACCTAACTGATGCCACTCTGGCTCCCCCCCTTCCCCCACCCCCCCGCCCTAACATCTCTCAATCCTGTTGCAACTCACCAGACTCACCAGAATCCTGACGAAAAGAAACGTGACGCTTGACGACATCGAATGACGGGCCACCCAGGCTTGCTCATTCTCGGTTCTGGTTGCTGGCCATTCAACAACATGTCCGGTTTCACCTGGCGGAGAAAAGATTAAGGGACAACGCATATCGTAGCAAGCTGAAGCTGGTTGCAATTTTGCTGAAGTAGACCAGAAAAAATACAGTGCGTTCCTGACCGGTGAGAGCATTTTCAGGAACTCCACCTGGCTCTATCAAAGTTGAACGTCCGCAAGCTGGGATCTTGATGAAAACCATTGGCCGCCCTCGCTGTGGTTCCGACGCATGTGGCTCCCAACTGGCTGCACACGGTGTTGCATTGTCGTGCCGCGGTGTTTCCAGGAAACCGCGCGGGATTCAGAAGGGCACAGGACAAGGAAATTACTAAGGACGAGGTAATCTTTCAGGGAAACCGGATGTCCTGAGTTGACACTGAGCCTTAACAATGCAATGAGTTCCAGGCCCTTCGGGTGTGGGTGGAAGCACGCAGCGACCGGTTGGGCAGAGCGCAATGTCCTTCATGCGAAGCTCAACTACACGCCCTGGCGCTCACTCTGCAGTCGCTGTCTGAGAGGAGAGCCCCGGTGCACCAGACATGAGCAGTTCGTGCGGCTACGCCTTGGTGCCGCCGACAGCAATGAGCATTCTGCCTTCTGGGGATCCGCAGCCTGGCTCCAAGAGCGCATTCTCGGCAAAGGGCAGGTGGAGCACATTGAAGCCCTGCACAAACCGCACATCTAACCCCCACATAGGATTACAAACCCACCCACATCCATCCGTCCGGAGGATGCGGGACACCCATTCACACGGAGAAGGTCACGCAATGCAATCGCGGCACGGGCAGAGAGCCGCCTCGTCTGCGCGCCAGGGAAGAATTGCGAGGCCCAGGCAGCCCGGTATGCTGTTCTTGCAGTTCAGAATCGCGAAGCTTGATGGAGCCTGCAGACCAAGCTACTGAAGCCTAAGCAAAAGTGCTGAAAAGAAAGGAGGAGAGAGCACAAGACCTGGTCGAGCGTCTGGTTTGAAGCTGCACATGCCACCTGGTTGCGCTGCTGTTTTGTTGGACTCGGAGGCCCTAGGCCCTGAACGTGATGCGTGACCGGACTTCTTCAGGTCGGCTGGGAGAATGGCACTCCGAGGACCTCCCGGTTCGATGACCTCAACCTAAGCCACATGACTTCTGGCTCCACTCCGTGCTCCGACCCTCGTCCCAATTTTGGGGAGCCCGCCAGTATTGACGCGATTGCCACCGTGGCAGGCTGCGACGACCTGAGCGCTGCACGGTCCTAGCGCTCAGAGACTGCCCTGATTCGACCAGCTTGCAAAACCCAACAGACATTCATGATACATTCCTTAGGCTCGTCGTGACGAGAACAATAAAGTATGCTGTCCGCGATGTGCCTCTCTGGTATAGGCTTCCATATCCACGGGGCATGTGCCACCATACTGTTTCATGCCAACATCGATCTCCTTGATTCTCTAGGAGAGTACTTTGCCTTGCGTTCGGCGTTCGGTTGCTTGGTGTTCGGGGTTTGGGGTAAGCAAGGAAGTCTGCGAACTTCGTTGCAGCCAACTAAGTACATGCAACGGCGGTAGGGGTGTGGACGGGGTGTGGACTCACAACCCTGAGATTCCGGTTTGCAACAGCTCCGTCGCGTGAATGACAAAATCTTAAAGACGTTTAGCTACGGCGACAGTTTGCGCAGCATACAAGTCCAACACTCGAACAAGAACGTGCGTCTGCCTCCGCAGCATGGCCTACCACGGCTGGAATGTCGAGGTGAGTATGGACAAGCACGACTGGCCAGAAGTCAAACTCTCAGCAGGCCGACACTTGATACCCAACTCACTGACTTCTTGCAACATCTTGCAACCCAGCTGCGCTGCAGAAACTGATCGTAGTAGACCTTCAATAATCAGCTCTCCGACCTCCGAGCAATGCAAAGCTGCAAATTGCCATGCATCCGCATTGGTTCAGCTCTGGGAATACCGCCGGTTGGGCATAGTCCCCTGCGTACATGCACCCATCTCCGCTCTTGGCCACTGCTGCCACACCTTGCACAGGTCAGCGGGAGGGAGCAGCAGGGCTGTTGACTTTCTGAGGCTCTGGCAGAGACACACTCCCCACGTTCCGGAGCCCCGCGCTTTGCCGAGATCGAAGTGGAGGAGTACCTCCGACTTCCGCTGTGCTGTGGGAGGCAACTGCAACTCCCTACTGCTTGGCGGAGGTGGAAAAGGCGAGCGCACCCCCCGTGTGAGGTTGTCTGTCCGATTCGCAACTGCTGGATTGTGATCAAAGCCTGAATGCACGACTGTCTCCGGCACGAGGAATGCTCGGAAAAGGCTTCAGGAAGACTTCTCGCCTGCTCCCAGATATGTATCCAACGGATCCGGATCTCCGCAGGAGAAGGAAAGCGGCACCAGCCGAACGGCGTCGCCCCTGGCGACACGCCAGCCATGGACCTCCAACATCGCAAGGATCGCCGACAGGGACAGGAGAGACTCTGGACTCCGGCCAAGATCCCACAGTCTGCGCCCTGTCGACACGACCATTCCATAGTTGACCTTGGCTGCTCGATACCTTGCCTTCACTTTCTGAGAAAAGCGGCTTCAGGCGAGCCGCAGTGCCCCAACCATGTACAGGCTGCCGATCTCGTGAGTGTGCTCCACCTGCCAGAGCTTCCCGACATAAAAGACACGAGAATGCAAAGAAGACAACTTGAGCCAAGATTCGGAAGCATCACACCTTCCATCACTCGTCATGGAAGCTTGGCCTCAATTCTGACAATCGGTGCTTGCGTCCCCTTTCACAGATAGCCTTCTTCTGGCGAATGGCAATAGCAAAGTCTATAGTCACCGGCACCAAAGAGCGTCTCCACACCAGCCTGGGGAAAGCCATGCATTCTTAATCCCCATGCTTCGGCACAGCCTTGCAGCTGGCAGTGGACACCGAAGACCCGACAACAACTTTGCTTCAGATTCTGAGGCGCCAGCCCTATGTGCAAATTCGCTGGCCCACGAGTCAAGAAGCTCCATCCTTCCCCACGCGACGCGGGGTTGAAGATGGCTGCGACAGCTGAAAGCATAAACGATCTGCCCCTACGGTCTGCATCTGTTCCATTCGCTGATCTGTCCTGCGTAGCAAGCTGAACTCTGGGTGACTGGAGGAATCCTGCACCTCGGGCACAGCATTACCAAGGCCGACAAAAAACGGATGGTGCTTGCAGTTGGGCGGCCTCTCCGCATTCTCTATCGAGAGGAACGGCTTTGAAAGAGTCGTAGAAGCTCAGCTGCATGGCCCAGACCTTCGTTCGAAGCGGCAACGGTGAATGACTCTGTCGCTTCACCAGCAGGTGAAGTAAGCTTTTGTCGAGAGGCTCCCGTCACATTGAATTTGCAGGGGCTGTTGGACAAACAGCTTTGATGCAACTGCGTGGAGTCATCGCGGCGGATCTCCCCGGTAATGTTCCTTACAAGGACACGTGCTTACGGCATTGGCCTTCTACTTCCACCCACTGGCGTCTTTTTGCACTGTACTCTTCCCACCCTAATTGCTCCGGAGTTCAGGGTGCCGGCATACTGCGCAAAGGCGACGGCATCATCACAGGGCCCCATCTCCGAGTGCTTGCCTGCGAGTCTCTACTTGTGAGAGAACGGCATCATGAATGGGATCTCCGCATCAATGCCGAGCTACAGTAGCAGACCCTGTAGAGGCCAGCTTGCCCGGCAGAGTCCAGCTGAAAGTTGCCAACGAAGTACAGCGGCTGAAGAGGTGCTGGCGTGGTCGTGTTCTCCTCGTCGCTCGGCACGGTCGTGGTGCTGGGATACACCGCAGAGGACCCGGTGATGCGGACCTGACAAAACAAGACTTGAGCGAGATCTGAGGCGTGACAAATCTGGTTAGAGCAGAAGGGGCCCACTCCTGCAGCCCTGAAGTCCCACGACCGCAGATTGTAGCCAGTGAGTTGGTCGCTGTGGGAGGTGGAGCCACGATCCTGGGGGCCACCATCAAATGCAGATGCATCTTCCTAGTCGTCACCCATATAATCACTAGAATCAAGAACTCCAGAGCTGGATCCCACACCTCCCTCAAAACCAACTTATGCGTCTGGCAAGCGTCAGAATCTGGTCTTCAGCATCAAATGGCAGTTCAGAGTGCACCTCGAACTGACAGGGCTGGAAGGCGCTGCACGGGAATTCCTGATCTCCCACAGCTCCTTGGACAATGACCAACCCAGCTTCGACTCCATACTGGAAGCCCGAGCCGCAGTAACCATGGCTCTCGAGCTTTACGGGGTCCCAAGTGTCGTCTACGCACCAGCAGATGCGGTAGGTGCCAGGGCTGTCGATCTGCACCGGTTCCCAGCCCCCGCGCTGGAAGCTAAGCCCCGCTTCCCCCACCATGTCTGCCATGTCCTCGAAGGAGGTGGGCGGTCCGTTCGCCGGTGTTGCAATGCAGGAGCTCTGGCCGCGCCCGCAGATGTAAGAGCGGAACGCCAGCGCATGTGCCGTGTCGGGATCGCCACACAAGGTGCTGCTTTCAGGAATCAGGACCCGGTCCTTCACAGACAAGCGATCGCCCTGCACATACAATGCAAATGACACTCCAGCCACTGCATACTGCGTAGCCATGTTCTCTGTGTCGGGGCCTCTTGGATAAAACAAGCCTACCTCGGCCCCAAAGGATTCTTCATTGATAACACCATCTTCGTCGAAACAGTACTGGGCACACCAGCAGACGGTGTACGTTAGATGTCTGTAGAGGTACGCAACGTATCGGTCCGAGAAGTCTCCTGTGAAGTTGAGGCTTGCAGCCTGATCCACAGGCGTTGCGAGAGGGAGCTCCTCATCTTCCACGTTTCCGTCGCCACGGAGAAGGGAGGCTCGCTGTTCCGCCGTGTCACGCGGCAGACCGCAGGGCCCCTCTTGTCTGAGCCGAAGCAGCACCTGGGAACCCGGCAAAGCTTCGGGATACACGAGCTCGAAGCGGAATCCCTGGCCCAGCACAGGCGAGACCAATATCCAGCCGGGGCCGACCACTTCCACCTCTCCAGCTGCCTCACCAAAATCGGCATCTTCCCCACAGCACGTATTCAGCTGTTGACAGGTCAAGGTGGGTCTGCACCAGCACAGCCGATAGACTCCGACTCTCACAACTCGGACATCCTCCCAAACAGCAAGATCTCCAACTCGACTGGCAGGACCATTGCAGATGTTCCCGATGCAGGGGGGCTGAACTGCCGCGTCCATGACGCTAGACCCGGGCTCGCCACAGGTCGAACTAAGGGGTCGGAAGCCTGCAAAGACAGAACACTGCTCATGTGCGACCATGTGCAGCTTCGGCCAGCATGGGACACACCAGGTAACACAAGCTGCTAGCTCTGTCAGGCGGCGCAATCGTCCGGATCGATAAATGGCATTGTCCAGCCCCGCTAGAGTTGGGGCTCCCAGATGGTGAAACCTCAGCTGGCCAGACCACCCACAGATCCCAAACGCAGACTCTTCCTGCCATTTCCAGTCATGCCGCTGTCCCGCAAGGAACTTCTGCCGCTGGAGAAGCCCCCGGCCCGAGCCCGCAGGGTTGCTCTCAGAGCACACTGTACCTGCCATGGACAGCGCATGCCACGCAATTCGCATGCCTTCAAATTCTGTCACACTTCGACTGGAACCGTGACGAGGCACAACACAGGCAGAGCCATAGGAAGCAGCGGAGCGCCCAACTAGAAAACGGAGTGCGTGACAAACTCCTGAGCTCGAAGTGACAGTTGAAGCATGGTTATACAACTGTAAACATGATTGCTCCAACTGGGCTCCTTGAAGAGATCGTCAAAGGACTCGCGTCGTGGCTCGACCATGCGCGAGCCCTCCAAGCATTAACCATTCAAAAGGCTTGCGCCTGCAGTCAAAGACAGGTGACGGGACAACAGGAGGCTAAGTTACAAAAGCACTGCGCCTCTCCGCCTGTCGCCGTCATCCCCTCTGGCACAGCACCGGCGGGAGGTAGCCCAGACAGCAGGGTGATCGGACTGCGAGAAGGATCCCCCTCTTGTGAAGAATGGGTGATGAGCCGATGAGTGCTGAGGGATTCATGGTTCGTGAAATTCATGGAGTCAGTTGCGCTAGGCCTAGGAACTAGAGCACTAGTAGGAGACCTTCTTCGGAGAGTCCATGGCTGCCTGCTGGCTTGATGACAACTGCTCTTTCGAACCATTTTCGGGCATGGGAAAAAAAACAAGGAACCGGCTCACCATCGCAAACAAATCTTGCTAGCCACTAGCCTCTTGCAAACCTGACGCAAGCACTGCTGCGATCGACGTGGCATCCTGCACTTCTTACTGTTGTCGTGTGTTTTCTGGCGTTCGGCAAGCGAAAAGGTGCGAGCTCTTGTCTTCAAGCTGCACCGCTACTACTGCAGGCACGTTCCACCAGCCCTCGGAGTCTTCCCGTCCCTCCCTCATCGAAATCACAGGTGGATCGACCTGAAGACATTATCTCGGCGCACTGCCATCTACGAGCTCACAGATTCTGAGCTCATGTTTCGTGAAAGCTCTGGAAAATGCAGGCTCACATTGCAGCCAGCCTGGCTAGGGTCTGTCCAAAAGAAGCCAGCAGGCGACCCAGTTTCTGTAAAACTGCAAGATGCTGCCATGACAAGGACGTTTCTCAACCCAGTGCATAGAGCTATGCGAATGGCCCAAGTCATGGCTAGCCCACGCTGGCCCACGCACTAACTTGAGCCCTCAGCCCACAGTGCAACGCATGAGGGCCAGACTCCAGATCGAGATCGACGTCCTCCGATATGTCACTTCCATACTGATCCAAAGTACAGAAAGCTTCGTTCAAATCTCATTGTGCATTGAACACATTGCTAAGCAAATCGTCATTGATGTTCCGGTGCGAGATTGGGCGGATGAGCATGAGCGTCGCGTGACAGAGAAAAGTCATTGGACAGTGACGAATCTGGCAGGGCTACAGAGCTTCATGATCCTGGTGTCCCCGTGACAGCGCAACCAGGCTGTGCCTCCATTAACAGCATCTCATCCTCCACGGCAAAGCCTGCACATGCGCAAGAATTGAGTAAGGAAAATGCGCTCGGATCTATCTGCTCCCCTTTGTGGAGAAACAAGATAGGTGCACCAACACGTCCAACCCAGAGCTGCAGCATGCTGCCCCCCTCAGCCCTCTGCCGGTGCCCGCTCGGCCACTTGGCGGTCGCGTGGCGATGCTGGTGGGGCTCTCCGAGCCTTTAACCCGCTCCCCACGCAGACAAAGTGAAACGAAATCAAGACGAGACCATGGCCAAGAGCCGGGTTCTTGCATGGAAAAGCCAGCATCTGCCGATCTGCTTCTTCTAAAAGCCACTGAAGCATTTCCTGCAGCACAGACGATGCCAAAAGCTGGTTTACCGAGCTTCCGCACCTCGAGGCCCCTGTAGCTGGCCAGGAGACCGTGGCCTCGAGGCACGCGAGCGAGCGCGAGATCGGAGCAACTCTCGACTTAGTCGTCGCTGAGCCCTCCGACCTAATTGCCCAGCTCGGTCGAGCTGCGCCTCGCCTCAGCGGGGGACGAAGCGCCGACAGTGATTTCACAAGCACAAGAGGCCCGTGGCTGGCAGCGCTCACCACGAGCTGGAGGAGATCCTTGACCTTCGATCTAGACTCCGTCTCGGTCTCGAGTCGAGCCTGCATCCCTTTGCCTGCGTTTGTGACTCCACCAGCCAGGCCACAGCAGTTCGATACCTTTCACAACAGTGCACTGCACGTGCGGTCATGAGCAGCCAGCGGCCTTTGCAGGGTGTCACGCAAGATCTCCAGGGCTAGGTCAGGGCTCATTGTGCGGACCCTAAGGATGTTGCCGATGCAATCGCATACAAACAGCGAGATTGGACCTTCCCCATATCAACTGAGGCGACAGCAAGGATGCTAGGGTCACCAGCAACACTTCGTACTGGCTCGCATCAATCTCATCGCCTCTTGGGCAAGAGTCCTCGACGCACGCCCAAGAAAGGCTAGCGCAGGTAGCATCATGACTCATGACTCGTTCAGTGTCTTTCAATCCAGGCTTTCCGTTGCCTGCCAGAGCGCATACACCTGAAAAAGCAACAGGGGAAGAAGAGCTTTGATATGCTTTGATTAAAAGTTAAAAGCTTCTAAATCAACCAAATCAATTAGCCTTTCTTCTGTCTCCAGGGTGGTTTGACGGGCCTGCCTTGTCGCTGTGCTGCTCCCTGGCACATGCCTAGCAAAGCGACAGCGAAGCTCCTTGACGACCCAACTGAGCAGCCGGAGAGGCCTCGATCAGAACGATCAGAAGCCGTGAGGAGACGCGCTGCCCGGAGCCTCTGATGCTAAGAGGCCGAATGGGGGAACGGTCGGTATAGGTTGTCCACAAGGGCCGCACTTTTCAGCGTCTCGTAGAACCTGTGAGGGTTTGTGTCCGGCACAGCACGCGACACCGGCATCGAGAGCGAGGCTGGATGCCATGGCCGAGCTGATGAGTGCGGGTGCAACACCTTGGCGCAGCGCGCATGTCAGTTGCCCCGGGATCGTTCTCCGAGGCCAAGGCTCGATGATAAGCTTGTAAACCTCAGAACAGCCGCAGAATCCGAAAAGCTGGGGCTTAGGTGGACCTCCCTCGTCTCAACTCTCGAACCCTTCCGGGTCTCACGGCGCCCTCGTAGAGCGGGACTTCCATTCTGCGCAACCTTCCGAGCAGCTTCGATCAATTTCCCATTTGGCCCGCTGAGATTTTGCTGTCGCACCGTTCGTAGATGCCAAAGGCCCGACGAACGTCGTCCATCTGACAGGCCTCATGCTCAGGAGCTGAGCTTGCACTTTTGCTGAGCATCCTCCGCCTCAATTAGCCGGTTGATCAGGCCGTCGGAATGGTCCCCTGCAGGTGCGTTGCGAGGCACTGGGCAGTGCCATGGCAGAGCGGGTGATGCAGGTGAACCCTTCCTCGTCCGAAAGGATCATCTTCGTCGCTAGCTGGCGAGCCGTACGGCCGCGAGGAGGGTCCTCCACTTGGGGTACTGTCCTGGCGACTCATGAACTCGAGCTGCTCTAGCTGTGGATGTGACACGGTTCCCGCACTCCAAATCGACCTAACTCCCGCCCGAGTCTTCGCCTGTGCCACCTCGCCCGCACAAAAGGAGTGCCTGCTCCTCACCCCAAGCCAACATTTTCGTTGGAGTTGGGCTTCTGGGACGCCTGAGCACGGAGCACGTATGGACAACACTTGATTCCAAGCTGGTATGGAACTTGAGCTGTCGCTCTGCGAACTGAGCAAGGAACATGCACTGAGCTGAGCCATCCTCGTCTGAACCACGAGCTGGAGAGACGACGCGATACTGGCAGGGAAACGCTGGGACAGCTGAGATGCGAGAATGCACCGAGAATGCACGGGCCTGCAGAGACGCGCTTGGCTGCTCCGTGCTTGCTTCTGGCTCGGCACTGCACTCCATACCCTGAACACTGAGCCGTGGGAACACCGGCAAATCACCACTGCGACAGGAGATGCAAAGCACAAGAGAAGGCGCCTGCAACCAGTGGTTCGTTTGCTCAGGCGTTGGGGCCTGTGGCCTGGTGGGCAATGTGTGAGTCGCCGGCCGCATAGGAAAAGCTCAGTTCTGCCTTTCGAGACGCTCTGGAGGTGGCGACAATGCCGGCGATGCAGGCTCCCCAGTCTGTGCGCCAGAAAAGGCCATGCGAAGATCCGATCGCTCTGCTCTGCCTCTGTGCCATCTGCCGTCGTGCTGCACATGGTGGCCTTGCTTGCAAACGCTTCTTCGGACAAAACAGCAGAGTCATCATTCGGCATCTTTGGTCTCTGGTGTTGTCCAAAAGGCGGCGCTGTTGCTCCCACCAGCCTTTGATTGTCGACACATCTCCATCGCCTGACCGGAGGACCGCCCACGATGTAGGCATGGTTTGGTTTCGATTGGTCCGGCCTCTTGCACCAGCTTTTGAGACACTCGTGCTGCCTGGGTCGTCGAAGATGGCATAAGGCGATCGTCGAAAGTCCCTCGTCAGATGTTCGCTGAGGGCCGATCTCCTTGGGGGCAGCGACCCCCGGAAGAAGCGGGCCTAGGCTCACCAAAACTCGCAAGGCCTTCGGCCACTTTGCTGGCTGCCCCTTCAGGGCCAGGCCGAACTTGACGCGGTGCCTCTTGGGCCTGGAGAACGACCCACATGGCCCAATTTTTGAAGCATCCAATCGACTAAAACCTGTCGGAGCTCAGCTTCCGGCGGGTGCCTCTGAACCGGATTGCTGGTGCGCACTCAACAGTCGACCTTCATGCCAGCTTGAAGCACACGGATGCGACTTCCAGAGGCCACAATCCAGGTGCGTTCGAGGAGCTTTCCAGCTGGTGCATGCGAGAACCCACCTTCCGGGTGAAAGCAAAAAGTCCAGCTGACCAACCCTTCACCGTGAACGAGACTGAAGCCAAGCCGCTGATCCGGATGCGGGGCGGACACCTCTTCCAGGCCTCCAGGAAACTCTCGGCGAAGTTACTGAGCAGGGATCCCGACCTGCCGAGCCTTCCGGCAGAACTTGTCCGCTTGCGCCGCATCTGTCAGGGAGCTTTGAACTTCGTAGTCTGAGTCTGAGAGGACGGTGACGTTGAGTCTGGGCCCGAAGCTCCATCACCACCCCGGTTCATACAAGGCCTCTCGATTAGCAGAAGGTGCGATGAAATGCGACATGTTGAACTGGGTGCAGGGGCGTCGTGGGCCGCGGTGGAAGCTCCGGTTGAACATCGGAAGGTGAGCTGCCGGTAGGCCTGAGAGGGCCAGAAGTGCACACAAGCCCCAAAGACACATTGATCGATGAAGGCAAGGCTTTGGGCACCGGTCACTCTCACCTCTGGTGGCTCTTCGGTGTGAACGAGGCCTCTGTTCATGCAGGGCCTCAGCTGTGCGGACGGCCTGCATGCTTGACTTGCTGCCTACGTGCAGTGCTTAGGTAAAACATTTCGTTCGGAAAATCGCTTCCGTGTCACTGGACAAACGGCAGGTCAACATGCTGTTGCATCAACACAAGCGTAACAGACACAAACGCACTTGCACACATGGATCCGCTTATGCTATGTACTGATGTCAGAATACGTTGGCTGAAAGCTGAGCTTCGGAACGTCGAGGGACGTGGTGGCAGTTCAGTCCGATCGTCAGAAGCACAGTTACCCGAAGACCTTGTTGCGGCCACAAGCTCACTGACCTTTCGTCCGGCCTAGGTCCGACCGGCTCTGGCCTTCCTGTGGGCCCTGCGTTCTTGGGCGAACCCGTTCCCGAGAATCCTCCCAGGTCTGCGCTGGCTGTGCCTGCGAAGGAGGTGACCCTGCCCCGGACCTCAGAGCAGGGAGGTCTCAAGACACGCGAACACCCTTCCTCCACCAGGGCTCCCGCGCGGGTCGTAGCTGGTGGTCATCGAAGCCTGAGCATGCGACAAGCTTGACAACTCTTCTTGCAGCATCTATCCTCAAGCGTTGCTCCGTCGATGGCTTACCTTCTTGGAAAGGCTCCTCACCGTGCTTGAACCTTGGTCCATGACATGTCAAACACCCGCATTATCACCCTCATGTGGCCCTGAGCTTCTTGCACCTGGACTCCTTGCTCCTCTTGTCGCCTGGAGCGCACGACAGACATGGTATGGCTCGGACAGCTTGGGATCAAGAATGGTGAATGAACATGCCAACCGCACAGTCTGCGACTACACCACTTCATCCCCAAAATCCGAATCACAGTACTGTTTGTGGGTGTCCGAAAGGGCGGCTACGCACGGGCCGCGACGCCTTGGCTTGGCCCGCTCCAGGTGTCTGCGTTCCAGGGCCTGAGCTGTCCGAACTCAGTCCGTGGGAACTCGCACATCCCAAGTTGAGATCAGGGCCGCGTGGATGCGGCTCAATGGAACCGGGACTGGCTGCGAGTCATGACGAGCCTGCAGTCGGCTCCCACCAAAGAATTTTAAGGGAAGTGCCTTCCCCGACCGGTCCTCCTGGACAGTTCGCGACCCTGACGGTGTGCGAGGCGCGACGGGAGCTTCGGCAACTCCGAGTTGCACCCACCAGCCTGGACGGACAACTCCGCCAGAAGCAAAAGCTCCTGGCCAATCACACTCGCACCCACCGTCTAGTCTGATGGGCTTTGCACTCAAAACGTTCCTGGCCGCTCACTGCCAACTGGCTTTTCCGTCCGTTGGCGTTCTTCTCCAGGCCGCCTGACGAAAGATACATGACCGTCGCATCGAATGCATACACGACATGTTCCAAGGAAATGCTACAGCGCAACGAAGTTCGAGCAGGGCCGGCTCATGCAATTGCTCATGTGACCGTCCAGGACATTCGACAGAATGCTTGCAAGTGACTTTTCCTGGTATCATGAACAACGGGTGCCTCCCTGCAGGTCCGGAACTGCCACGCTTACGGTGAACCTTTGCAAGCACATAGCTCAGCTAAGCACGCAGCTTAGCTGCAAGAACTCATTTATCTGACGCACCTGCGACACACCTACGACCGAGTTTGAGCTCGCCAAGCCGCATCCTGCTGGAATTTCCGGGGACCTCCACTGCCTGACTCTCCAGAAATCAATGCTTTAATCGCAGAAAACCTTGCAGAGTGATGACGTCGCCAAGGCCGATACTTGCAGATCCGTATACCACTCGTGCCGAATACGCAGCCATGGATGAAAGACTAAGGAATTGCGCATGTGAAGGGCGAAGTACGGCCCGAAGGACACATTGCTACTGCAGTCAGGTTCCGAAACATGGCTAACACAACCGCAACAACTGCAAGCAAACTTGCTCAGATCCGCAAGTTTTTGCATTGCTGGGCATTGTCAACATGCTCCTCTGCGATGCCTTGTCGATTTTGAACTGTCCTCAACCCTCCTTGATGTTGAAAGTAGCAGTGCAACAGAAACAACGACATGCCTCCTGCCGTTCTTACGATGCTCACACTGAGCTTTACGATCCGTCAAGAATCGAACCTGTTTTCTCTGCGACGGCCAGTGCAACAACTTTCAGTTCAAACAATGTAACTTGATCCTTTGTATCAACCCTAATAATGTTTGACTGACGCTCGTTGGGTGCACTGACTTGACTTGACCCTATCAGCAGTTTGCTCCGACATAACATGCACGGTCTTCCTAAAGCTTGTAAATTTGTCCTTTCCTTTATGCGGAGTTCACGCTGAGGCTCACATTATAGTTTCAATTGCATTCAGCTCCAAGGAGATGGCAGACGTAGCAAACCGGCATCGCGAACGCGAGCTAAAACTTTAGCAAATCGATTGCATCTTTCTTTTTGTTCATTTGCCTCGCTTTTCAATACCCTTTTGGACGTTCAAGCTCGATTACAAACCAGTGCCTGTTAGCAAACACGAGTTATCAGCCGTCAAAACAAAACATTAAACAAAAAATCTCCAACACACAAGAAGGAGAAAACCACACGACCTCCAGGGGTTCAAAAAAATGAATCATGTCCAACACACGAGACTTTTGTCACAAGACAGTTGGGGGTTTGTTCCAAAACCCCTCACTTTCTCAAAACCGAATTACATCGAATGTCTTCTCCAATGCTTCTTTGGCTGGAGAGGGCTGACTGCATCCGCAACACAATGCTCGGTCCCTACACGAAACCACCCAACTTGTAAAAACACAGCAGCAGCGCGCTGAACCCTCTTTTT